TGATTCCTTATCTCCTGAATCAAGAAGAGCATAATGGTTTCCAAGTACCACGGTGAGAGGGTTGGAGCACTGCATGCTGCTAGAAGTGACCAGTTGCCAATGTCCCCTCTCAGTCATCTCCTCCTCTACCAGCGGTGTGTCAGCAGTCTTGTGTAGTGAGACAGCTACCTCAGCTGTCTCCACATAAATACTGTCCAGGAATTGCTCGTGGATTCGGATGTTCCTCTGCCTAGTCACCTCCTCCTCTAGCTCTCGCACCTGCTTCTGAGAGATTTTACCAGCAGGCACCTTTCATATTGGATGGTTTCTCCCCCCGCCTGTATTTCTGTAAGTGAGAATTTCAAGCCACAGTCCTTGCAAAACCACATCAGGATCTGGATAGAGGCATCCATGGTCAGATGGTCTGTCTGGCTACAGAGGCAGGCAGAGGAGACAGAAGCAGTGCTGGTACAGGTGTTGCGGGTGTTCTTGACCACAATAGTCCTCCCTCTTTCAATCTCCCTCTTAAACTCCCCTGTCTGCTTTGCTCCCCTAGTCACTCTGCCTCTGGCTTTTAAAGCCTGCTCATCTAGGTCAAGCCTACCCCCTCGTTAGTCACATGAGGAAGGCTGATCTTGAGGCTGATCAAAGGAACGAAGGATCAAACACTCCCAGACACACCATCCCCACTGCAACAGTAACTAAAACAGAAATCACCTGAAATCAGAATCAAAATTCAAACAGTTAAGCAAAATCACTCACACCAAAAGCTACTATGCTCACCTGGTAGCCTGTTCAACAGTGGGATCTCTTGCTCTCCCTCTTATACTCCCCTGTTTGCAGCCTCCTGCCCACTTGATGGGGACTGATTTGACTACAGCTACTCAAGAGAAAGATCTTGGAGGATTGTGGATAGTTCTCTGAAAACATCCATTCAATGTGCAGCGGTGGTCAAAAAAGCAAATAGAATGTTAGGAATCATTTAAAAATAGATAGAGAATAAGAAAATATCTTATTGCCTCTGTGTAAAACCATGGCATGCCCACGTAGTGAATACTACATACAGATGTGGTCACCTCATCTCAAAAAAGATATATTGACATTGGAAAAGGTTCAGAAAAGGGCAACAAAAATGATTAGGGGTTTGGAATGGGTCCCATATGAAGAGAGATTAAAGCAGTGGTCCCCAACCTTTTGAGGTTGTCGGGCGCCATATTGCCTCTGTGTAAAACCATGGCATGCCCACGTAGTGAATACTACATACAGATGTGGTCACCTCATCTCAAAAAAGATATATTGACATTGGAAAAGGTTCAGAAAAGGGCAACAAAAATGATTAGGGGTTTGGAATGGGTCCCATATGAAGAGAGATTAAAGCAGTGGTCCCCAACCTTTTGAGGTTGTCGGGCGCCAGGGGGCGTGGCCGTTCGCAATCCTATTCAACTTATTTATAAATGATCTGGAGAAAGGGGCAAACAGCGAGGTGGCAAAATTTGCAGATGATACTAATCTGCTCAAGAAAATTAAGACCAAAGCAGACTGTGAAGAGCTTCAAAAAGATCTCACCGAACTAAGTGATAGGGCAACAAAATGGCAAATGAAATATAATGTTGATAAATGTAAAGTAATGCACATTGGAAAAAATAATCCCAACTACCCATACAATATGATGGGGACTAATTTCTCTGAAAACATCCACTCCATGTGCAGCGGCAGTCAAAAAAGCAAATAGAATGTTAGGACTCATTAAAAAGGGATAGAGAATAAAACAGAGAACATCTTATTGCCTCTATATAAAACCATGGTACACCCACATCTTGAATACTGTATACAGATGTGGTCTCTTCAACTCAAAAAAGATATTTTGGCCTTGGAAAGGGTTCAGAAAAAGGCAACTAAAATGATTAGGGGTTTGGAACAGGTCCCATATAAAGAGAGATTAAAAAAAATTGAACTTTTCATCTTAGAAAAGAGGAGACTAAGGGGGGATATGATAGAGGTCTATAAAATCATGACTGGTATGGAAAAAGTGATTAAGGAAAAGTGATTTACTTATTCCCACAATATAAGAACTAGGGGTCACCAAATGAAATTAATAGGCAGCAGGTTTAAAACAAACAAAAGGAAGGTTTTCTTCTCTCAGTGCATAGTCAACCTCTGGAACTCCTTTCCAGAGGATGTGGTGAAGAATAGAACTTCAGAAGGGTTCAAAAAAGAGCTAGATAGATTCATGGAGGTTAGGTCCATCAATGGCTGCTAGCCAGGATGGATAGGAATGGTATCCCTAACCTCTATTTGTCTGGAAATGGGTGACAGGAGCGGGAGCAAGTGAGGATTACCTGTTGTGTTCCCTCCCTCTTGGGCATCTGGTATTGGCCACTTTTGGCAGACAGGATACTGGGCTAGATGGACCATTGGGCTGACCCAGAATGGCTGGTCTTATGTTTTTAAAGACAAATTATCCTGTATTTTCTGCCTCCCTTGCATCCCAACTCCCCATCAATACTAGTAAGTCCTGCTGCTGTCTGGATCCTGCTTGCCAGCCAGTGGTGAGTGGGTGGTCCAGTGGCTGATGATGGGGGTGGGTGTGCAAGACTGGAGGTGAGCTAAGATGCAGCACATGGGGGGCAGGTCACTCCCCCTGCTGGTCCCATTAGTGCCCCTGATGTGATAGCTCTCAGCCAGCAGGGCCCCACCCCCTGTCCCATTTTTGTCTGGCACTGGCTGTGAGCTGTGGTGACTGCTGCCAGAAGGAAACTAGTTTTTTACGTCAAATGGTCCAAACCATTCAGAAAAGAATCAAAACTCTTTCAGCTTTGCAGAGATCTAAAGGAGAAACTACATCTAAGCAGAGAATCTCCAAATGGCTTTCAGAGTGCATTCATCTTTACTATTGTCAACACAAATTGCAAACCCCACAAGGAGTTAGAACACATTGTACCAGGTTGCTTTCCACACCTGGAGTGTCTTGGGGAAACTCTATGGGAAGTAATACTAGAGGGCTTGTCTCACATCAATTGCGTAGCTTAAGTCAAAATAGCTTATTTCAACTTTTGGTGCTGTTTACACAGCAGGAAGTCCAAGTTAGAGCATTCTTCCTCTGACTTTCCTTACTCCTTGTGAGGATTACGGAATTGGAGTAAGAAGTCCTCCAGCTTAACATTATTTCAACATTATGTCGAAATAACTGGTTACTGTTTAGACATGAACTGTGTTATTTCGGAATAATGCCAGTTATTCTGAAATAATGCTGCTGTGTAGACATAGCCAGAGAGAACAACTCTCCTCAGGCCTTTTTCTGAACTCATTTGTGACCATCCAGATGTGAACAGATTATTCTTCTTTGAGTGCTTGCTCATGTCCATTCCAGTTAGGTGTGTGTGTGCCGCGTGCACGGATCTCTGGAGCTTTTTTCCCTTAGCAGTACCCGTCGGGCCAGCCAGGGAGCCCCCTGGAGTGGCGCCGGTATACCGATGCATCTATGCCCCTGCTGGCCCTCCACCTGCTCAGTTTCTTCCTACAGCCCATGATGGTAGCTGGAGCGATTCTCTGTCTAATTGTTCTTCCCTTAGGCTATGTCTAGACTGCAAGCCTCTTTCGAAAGAGGCTCTTTCGAAAGATAAGACTGCACGCGGAACTTTCGAAAGAGCAAGCCGCTTTTTCGAAAGAAAGCACCCAGTGAGTCTGGATGCTCTCTTTCGAAGAAGCCCTATTTACATTCAAGAACGCCTTCTTTCGAAAGAAGCACTTTCGAAAGAAGGCGTTCTTCCTTGTGAAATGAGGTTTACCACCGTCGAAAGAAAAGCCGCGTTCTTTCGATTTAATTTCGAAAGAACGCGACTGCAGTCTAGACGCAGGTGAAGTTTTTTTGGAAAAAGGCTACTTTTCCCGAAAAAACCCCTGAGTCTGGACACAGCCCTAGTGTTTGCATAACCATTAGTTTAATTCATTGTGATTAGTTTAGTGTTACTCTCAGTGGGGATTTAGCGTTACTCAGTGCGGATTCACCAATTTTTCTTTTATGTCTGGGGAAGGTAATGCCGGGGTCACATAGCGCACCATCATCACTTGGAGACCTGTCCGCACCAAGACAACTCGCACCAACAAGACCTTTGTCATCGAGGTACCAATGTCAATCACCGGTGCACTCAAGGAAGAAGCATAGGGGAAGGTCCCCAGCGAGATGTGGCCAGAAGGTGCGCCAGAAGGATTGGCACCTTGCTGAGGACCCTCTCCATGATGCTCTCGAGCCGCATAGGCGCCGGTTGAGCACAAAGCATACGGAGGGTTCAGTATCCGATCCAGAAATCGAGGAGCTCCATCAGCTGTCTACGCCAGAGGCTTTTGACACGGCACAGCAGTTGATGGAACTCACCGTGGCCCAAGGGCCCGGTTTGGTCATGGGTGTAGGTCACCACCTCTGGCACCAGAGACTCATGCACCATCAGGGCAACCAAGGACAGCCCCAGGTGTGGCGCCTGTACTGAGGTTGGCGCCAGTTTTGCCTCCAACTACATGTCATCTTGCCGCTCACCGATACCGTTGATGGCACCACCCTGATCGGCTTCTGAATACTCTTCTGAGTCAGAGGCCGAATCAGCACACTCAGGGCACTGGTCTTACAGATCAGGATCCTGGCACCAGTCTCAATCATCATACTGATCTAGGCGTCACAGCTCAACTTCCCTCCAATCATGGCCAACACAGTGGCAACCTAACCAGCAGTTGCCCTTCTGGATACCCTGGGCATACCACCAGGCCCAAGGACAACAGCAAGTAGGACATGCTTCAGTCCCAGCACAACCCAGGGGTGCTCCATCGGCAACCCTGTTAACCAGACCACCAGAGTCGGAAGCTGGTCATTCGGCCTGCACAAAGGTGGCCAGATCAATGCAAGGCCAACAAAAGGGGTCCCACAAGCTCCCCCACTGGTAACCACGGAGCAGCAGCAGGTCCCTCCCCCTCAAGGGGATTCCTCATCGTTGTCACCGGACGAAGCTCTGGCCGACCCAGCCAACGCAATGCCAGCCATGGATGCTAGGGCACATCAAGACGTATTCCGTCAGATGGCAACTAATCTTAGGTGTTCAGGCAGAAGAGGTAATTGAGGACGTAGACCCCATAGTTGACATTCTTACAGCGGACACTCCAGCGAAGGTGGCACTGCCACTGAATAAGACGGTGTCCAAGTTAGCAAAGACTCTACGGTACACCCTGGCCTCCATCCCTCCTAGCCAAAAAGGGGTAGAGAAGCGATACTTCATCCCGTAGCTAAATCACGAACACCTCTATTCCCTTCCAGCACCAGGCTCGCTTGTGGTCCAGAGAGAGACAAGGCTCTCCAGGTCCCACACTGAAAAACAAGGAACCGAAAAAGTTAGTCCTTCTGGGCAGGAAAACCTACGTGACAGGGAGGCTCCAACTCCTAATCGCAAACCAACAGGTTATGCTAAGCAGATACGCATATAACATGCCATCAGCAATGGACAAGACAAGAGGAGAGGCAAGAATTTGAGGCCTTGCTGGAAGAGGGTATAGTAGTATCCCACACAGCACTCTAGACCGCACTGGATGCTGCCGATTCGGCTGCTCATATGATGGCCACGGGGGCGGTCATGATATGTAGTGCTTGGCTGCAGGTATCGGGGATACCACCTGAAGTCCAGACCACCCTGCAGGACCTACCATTTGAGGACACGGGATTATTCTCGGAGCAAACCGATTAATGGCTGCATATCTTTAAAGATTCTAGGGCCACTCTTAAATCTCTAGAGATTCATACCATGGCCCCTCAACATAGGCCTCTGCCCCCTAGGCAGGCCCAGAGACCCTTCCAACAACCCTTTAGACCAGACAGAGGCAGGAGGAGGGGATACAATTTCAATGGCAACACCAACAGGAATAGGCATAGGAGGTCGAGGTCAGACCCTGAAAGAGGGCCCACCCAGCCCTCTAACCAACAACCAAAAGCATCCTTTTGAAATCACGCTCGAGGACTGCATCCCAGCCTCCATTATAACCCCACCGTTTGGGTCCTGGCTTTCCCATTTCCACCCGGCCTGGTCTAAAATTACCTCGGACCATTGGGTTCTTGGCCTGGTAGAAAAGGGATATGCTATTCCCTTTCTGTCCCACCCACCCACCTACCCCCTGTTCCCATCCCTCTTTAGGGACCTCTCTCACGAGACCCTGCTCGAGCAGGAAGTGTTGACCCTGTTGTTATTGGGGGCTGTAGAACCTGTTCCAATGGGTTTTAAAGGGAAGGGGTTTTACTCCAGATATTTTTTGATCCCCAAGTCCAAGGGAGGTCTGCATCCCATCCTGGACCTAAGGAACCTAAACTCCTATGTGAGGAATGTAAGCTTCAGAATGGTAACTCTCGCCTCCATCATTCCATCCCTAGAAAAAGGAGACTGGTATGCCACCTTTGACTTCAAGGATATGTATTTCCACATTTCAATCATCACAGCCCACAGAAAATTCCTCAGGTTTATGTTGGGCAAACACCATTTTCAGTTCACGGTGCTACCATTTGGTCTTTCTATGGCCCCTAGGGGATTTACCAAATGTATGGTGGCCGTGGCTGCATTCCTGAGGCAACACAGAATTCAAGTTCCCCTACTTTGATGACTGGTTGATCAGGGGGTCGTCCAGAAGTCTAGTAATGGCACACATAGGCTTTATCAGAAATCTATTCTACAAACTGGATCGCCTCGTAAACTAGAATTCTACACTCAACCGCACACAAGGCAAGTCTTTATTGGGGCACACCTGGACTCCACAGTTGCGAGAGCATCCCTGCCAAGGGCCATGTTCATGGTTATCAGAGCGATTATAGAAGGCCTCAGGGCTGTGCCACTTATGACGGCCCGCACTTGTATGAGATTACTAGGTCACATGGAGGCATGTAACTTTGTAGTACAACATACCAGACTACTGGTATGACAACTTTAAGTGTGGCTGGCCTCACTCCACAACCCAGCCCACATACCACTGGACGAGCTCCTCACGGTACCAGAGGACGTCTTTCAGTCTCTTAGTTGATGGCTCCAAGAACAGGTGGTGTGCCATGGAGTCCCATTCACCAGGCAAATCCCATCAGTGTGACTGGTGATGGATGCATCGGATGTCAGATGGGGGGCCCATCTCGTGAACCTCAGGACCCAAAGAATGTGGTCCCACAATGAACGCAGACTACATATAAATGTCAAAGGTTTCAGGGCAGTCAGACTGGCCTGCCTAACGTTCCTACCTTACCTGGAGGGCAAGGTGGAGCTCATTCCTCTCCCCTGTGCAAGGAGGCCCTCCTGCTGTGGAATCTGTGCATCGCACACCAGATTCACCTGGAGGCATCTTACCTCACGAGGAACCAGAATGTGCCAGCAGACAAGCGCAGCAGATCATTCAAAACCCACGAATGGGCTATCAGGAGAGATATCTTGCAAGCTGTTGTTTTCCAGAAGTGAGGTTATCTCCTTTTAGACCTGTTTTGCCTTCCAAGGGAACTCCAAATGCCCGAGTTACTGTTCATATCTGGGACTAGGGATGGGCTCATTAGGAGATGCCTTACTGGTGCATTGGCCCAGACAACTCCTGTATGCGTTCCCACCCTTTCCCCTTCTACACAAGGTAGTCCTGCTGATCAGGAGATGGGCGGTGGAGGTCATTCTAATAGCCCCAGTGTGGTCGTGCCAGCACTTGTACCCCATGCTCGTGGACATGGTGGTGGAAGAGCCCTTTGTACTACTGCTAGTCCCGGACCTGATCACACAGAATCTGTGGGAGGGGAGGTTATGGCACCTAAACCTCCCATCCCTCCATCTGGTGGCCTGGAACCTCCGTAGTTAGCGGGCCAGAAGCAACTTTGCTCAGAGGAGGTCAGGAGAGTCCTGGTGGAGAGAAGGAAACCTTCGACCAGGGCTACTTATGAAGCCAAATGGAGACGTTTCTCCCTGTGGCTGAGTGCGGCTGGGATCGACCATCTTAGGGCCCCTATACCTATTATCCTAGACTATCTCCTCCACCTCCGTCAGCAGGGGTTATCAACCTCATCCTTAAGGATATACCTAGCTGCTATAGTAGCCTTCCACCCAGGTGAAGGGAGTAGGTCAGTGCTTGTAAATACATTAGTCAAACGATTCCTCAAGGGTGCAGACAGGCTATACCTACATGTAAGACAGCCACTACCAATGTGGGATATTAATTTGGTCCTCACAAGGCTTATGAGCCCTCCCTTTGAACCCTTAGACACTTGCTTCTTGAAACACCTTTCGTGGAAGGTGGTGTTCTTGGTGGCCGTCATGTTGGCCAGAAGGGTATCAGAACTAGGGGTATGTCTAGACTACATGCCTCTGGCGACAGAGGCATGTAGATTAGACTACCCGGCATAGGAAAATGAAGCGGCGATTTAAATAATCGCCGCTTCATTAAATTTACATGGCTGCCGCACTGAGCCGATCAGCTGTTTGTCGGCTCAGCGCAGTAGTCTGAACGTTCCGCAGTCGACATCAAAGGCATTTGTCGACCTCCCAGGTATGCCTCATCCAAGGAACGTCCAGACTATCGCGCTGAGCCAACAAACAATCAGCTGTTTGTCGGCTCAGCGCAGCAGCCATCAGGTATGCCTCATCCCAGGAGGCATACCTGGGAGGTCGACAAATGCCTTTGATGTCGACCGCCGAATGTCCAGACTACCGTGCTGAGCCGACAAACAGCTGATCGGCTCAGTGCGGCAGCCATGTAAATTTAATGAAGCGGCGATTATTTAAATCGCCGCTTCATTTTCCTATGCCGGGTAGTCTAATCTACATGCCTCTGTCGCCAGAGGCATGTAGTCTAGACGTACCCTAAGGGCCCTCACTTCTGAGCCCCCATATACAATATTTTTCAAAGACAAGGTTAGGCTTAGGTCTCATCTGTCGTTTCTACCCAAGGTAGTGTTATATTTTCACATGTCACAGGATATCTACCTCCCATTCTTCTGAACTGAGGGGGTGGAGGGCCAGCAGGGGTATATATGCACCGGTATACTGGCACCACTCCAAGGGGCTCCCTGGCTGGCCTGACGGATACTGCTAAGGGGAAAAAAACCCCGGAGTTCCATGCATGCAACGAGCACACACCTAACTGAAATGGACATGAGCAACACAGCTCGAAGAACAGCAGTTACAAGGTAAGTAACCTTTTCTACGTGTGTAGGCTTGACAGATTTTGGTTTTGTTTTTATAATTTAGAAGGATAATATAAATGTTTATTTTAAGCACTCTTCTGTTTTAATCAGTTTAAATTTTCACAGTTGTGGATGTTATGGGTAGTGGTCAGACAAATATTTGTTGACTGTAGAGATTGAGAATCAAAGAGTTAAAGCTTGATAACCATTAAAATACCGATTGTCAGCATCACATCAGAATGTACAAGTAAATATCTATAGACTCTAATTAGAAAAATGTTGCTTGAGAACTTACTTGTTTATCTGTAAATTTCTGTTATTGATGGAAACTTTTGTTAATTTGTGTGTTCAGTAAAATCTATGTTTACTGATGGAAACTATAATCTTTCAAAGTTTATGTATGTGCCTCTGTGGTTTTGAGAGTAGGGGGTGATGCCACCCAAGGTTAGCCCTTCCCTGCTCACATATTATGGCTCTTTCTTGTAGGCCTGCTGTTTTCCTTCCCTCTCTAGGTAAAGCTGCATTATTTGGCTCGTTATTGAATACCTTTTTATTATGTCTCCATAGGTTATAACCTAAATTGTCGAAAATGTTTTGGGCACGTGTACATCAGTGTTCCCTCTAAGCTGTGCGGTAGCACAGCTTCACAGGTGATTAATTAGCCTCGTCCAGTCAGTGAGCACTGGTCTACACTACAAAATAATGTTGAATCTAAAATGATTGATTTTCTACCACCCAATTTTGCCAAGTTGGAGGTCTATGTCCTCACTGTGAAGAAGAATTAAATGTAGTCTCAAGTAGTGTGTCCCCATTAGGGAGCCTACTGTTGACTCAGAGAGTAAGGCACTGTGGTCAGCTTTGAGTTCTGGGCTATGCCCATGGTGTCCTCTGAGCCCAAACTTCTGCAGAGGGTGGCTAGTGGGGCTCATGTCAACAGCATCTCATTAAGCACTTATCTAGTCCCTCCCTCCTCATGTGAGATAAAGCAGCGACAGTGTGCTCGTGCCTTTTGGTCCATGGTCACCTGCGGACACTTTTCCACAGAGTACCTCAATCGCAAGGTGTACTTATCTATGGTGCTGCAGATGCTCGTGGAACACAATAGCCATTTCACCGACATCTACGTGGGATGGTCAGAAAAGGTGCATGATGCCCACATTTTTAGGAACTCCTGCCTTTTCCAAAGATGCCTTTTTTAGCTCAGTGGGAGATCAGTAGAAGTGTAGGTTCTGGCCAGAATGGAAAGCTGTGTGAGGCCTCCCAGAGGCCAATAGAGTCAACTTTCTGGCAACACTGCATCTACACTAGTTTAAATTCAACTGTGCAAGGTTGGGAATAGTGTTACTCCTTATGAAAAGCAGGAGTACTTAAATCAATTTCTGTGGTAATGTGACAGTCTTGGTAGTGTGGACACATCACTTAGAAAATCGATGGATGGGGCTAAAAGCGATGTAAAGTCCTAGTATAGACCAGGCCTTTGTTCTGTTCTGAAATATTATTGTAATTTTTCCTACAATACTAGAAATTTTGTGGAGAAAGTGTGATTATAGAATAGAAATGAAACACTAGTATTTTCAAAGATTCATTGTGAGTCAGTATTTAAAGGTAAAAAGTGGACTTGAATTTGTTTAGAAATACATACCAACAAGAATAAAAATTCTCATTTACTTTCCCATTTACTTTAATTTTTGTTGTGAGCTTGTAGACCCCACTTGAGAAATCATGAATCAGACTGATTTTTAGTCGCAGCAGAAAGATGAAATGTTATTTATTCTTAAATGCTCACTTACAGTTCTACTGCACATGAAAAGTTAATAGAATTTGCTAGCAAAATTGGAAGACTTCATAAAAAAACAACTAAATTCAAAGAGGGGAAGAAAAGTACAAACACCGATCTTTCAAGTGGCATAGCTACCTATTAGAGTGAAATTGTAGTTCTTAGTACAAAATCTGAATACAAAGACTTTGTAATGGGAACCAATACAAGGGAATTAGGGATAGATTCTTTCCCTCAACTTACTGGCTGGGCACTAGATATTTGCAAGAGCTAGATTTATAATAGTGGCTGCAGCCTCCTGAGATGTCTGGGTTCATTGATCCTTAGATTCCAAGGCCAGAAGGAACCATTATTATCATCTATTTTGACTTGTTCTACTATATATTTTAGATATGTTTGGTTGACCATTTGAGAGTCCATTTGTGCAAGAACTCCTCCTAAATGGTAAGAGCTAGAAACACCAAATTTGGTTTGTGGCGGTTTCTTCTTATAACTTAAAGCAAGGTCACTATTTGGTTGTGACAAGATAATGGGATGGCTGGCCTTGGGGAGAAGCTGGAAGGTGGAAGCCCCCCAGCAAGCCTGGACCCAGGCAACACCAGGTAAGTCTTCTAGTATGCTATGGGCTCATCTAGACTATGCAGAAGATTCGAAAGAGGATATGCAAATTCCCAAGGAATTCTCATATTGCTTTCGAAAGTGAAAGTAATCAAGACGCGGGTTTTTTTCTGGCAACTTCCCCTTTTTCGAAAAGCTGCTTTTCCTCAAAAAATTAGGTTTACGCGGCTTTTCGAAAAAAAGGGAGGTTGCCGAAAAAAAGTCTTGTGTCTTGATTGCTTTCACTTTCCATAGAATTTGCATATCCTCTTTCGAATCTTCTGCGTAGTCTAGATGAACCCTATAATTCTAGACCATAGAACTTCACCAAAATAATTCTTGGAACATACCTTTTAGAAAAAACATCCAGTCTTAATTTAAAAATTGTTAAAAGTTGTCATTGTTCAAATGGTTAGTTACTCTTACCATTAAAAATGTACACCTATTGCCAGTCTGAATTTGTCTAATTTCAACTTCCATCTATTGTATCATATTATACCTATCTCTGTTATACTGAAGAACCTGTTATTAAATGTTTGTTCCCTATGCAGATAATTACAGAATGTAACCAAATCATCAATTAGTCTATGGTTTTTAAACAGATTGAGCTTTTTGAAATGCTCACTGTCAGGCATGTTTTCTTTTAATCATTCTCATGGCTCTTCTATGGACCTCTAATTTATCCGACAAGATTCTCTGAGAGTTACATTGACTATTACTACACACCTGCCACTACTTAATCTGCAAATCTCTTCTGTGCTTAGAGATGATGTGAAAAGGTGCTCAAGGTTCTGTGCAGTCTCTCTATTCAGACACTCTGCTTTCTTTCTCTTGCGTGACGGTACTGTTGCATTTCCTGCCTTTTGGGGCTTTCTTAGGTATATATTCCCCTGCACCCTCAAGGAACTATTTCACCCTTGGCAAACTATTTGAGAGAGAGATATTTTAGCGTTTGAGTTGTGGGGTTTTAAGACTGACACACTTAAGTTTACCCAGCAAGCAAAAAACTAGGTAGAATTATATGAAAGCTCTTGTGTTCTGTTCTTGTCCATAGGTATCATATTCCTTTCCAGGGATTCTATGTTGGTTCAAGTGAACAGTGTTTATGAAGCACTTTTTGTATAACCTTTTGTCTTATATGTTAAAACAGAGCTATTTATTTCTAACTTACAACTTTGTAGCATTTACAAATAAGGTAGTATATCAGAATCAAATGTGCATGTTTTAATTAACTACCTAATTTAGGAATCTGTTTTGACAGTAAGTGAATATTTTGTCAGTATCTGAAGATATTCATCAATTGTCCTATTCAGATATTCCATCATTCCAAATAAATTGTTATAATTAGATTCTTCTAATAGCATAGATAATCTCAATTAAATAAAAGTATCATTTTGTCCAATTGCAAGCAATTTCTTTCTATTGAGTATCCTGTTGATGTTGCCATATTTTTTTACATTCACATGTGCTATATTATAAAAAAAATAACAATTTGCGATAGTATGGTGGCTTGTTAATATTAATACTGATTTAAAAGGAAATTTATTTTTGTTTTCAATTTTCTAAGCTTAATTTTACATTTAATATTCATGACTTCAATATTTCCTCCTTAGCTATAAATACAGAAGTTGTAATATCAAATGATCTCCTGAATAGAATAGTCTATGAGAGTACTACTGTCTTTTCTTTGTCCATGCTTGGTTATCATTTTGACCTATTTTACTGTAATGCCATGCCCTGTATTATATGTCAAAGTAAAAAAGGGAACATTCTTGTTTAAACAAAAATATGTGAGTAGATGAACCTGTGATTTTTGTTTTGTTTAATAATTTCAAAATAGGATCCTAATGAAGATACAGAATGGAACGACATATTAAGAGATTTTGGAATTCTACCTCCAAAAGATAAGCCAAAAGATGAAACTGAAGAATTGGTTTTGCGTTTACAGAAAGAAGCAGAAGGTAAGTAAAGTTCAAAATTTATACACTTGATATAACATAATATGAAGATCTGAGCATTTTTCAGAAACATTTATCCTTACACAAAAGCTCTAATGTAATTCCACTCTTAAAAAATAGAATATTTTGGTTATTTTATTTGATAGGTTTTGATTTTTATTTTAAATTTATTTGAATTTGAGACGGTTACTTTATTCAGTATAAGATACTTATAAAATAATAGAACAATAAAATATAAATATGCGCTTATAACAAATACTATTGTACATGGTATCTACAATGACAAATCATCTATTCACCATTGGAAAAGGAAAGATCTGCTTTCAGTTTTTACCACACATTCTGTGTGACATAAGCACTATTGATGTTCAAACAACCTACCTATCAGTTAGCCACCTACACAGGCTGGTAAGAACAAAGGGTGTCTAATCAGAAAGTCTTTAGGAGGGAACTATGTTTCAGAAAGTTATCTCCTTATAACTGCTTTCCAGTACTCCACACTCCCCAGGTGTTTTGTGTATCCAGCAGTTCAAAACAAATTTTTACACAGTGTATGTGACCCAAAATAATAAGGGCTTAATTTTCAAGAGACCCCCTGAAGTTGTGTCCACTGTTTGGAATATCAGATATTTTCATTCTTCATTACCTCAGATGTGGGCATGCAAACTAGGTCTCTATTATGCATGAGTTTAACTCTGTGTGAGGAGGTTTAATAAGACTATTCATTGTGCAGGGTTAAACACATTTTAGTATTTGCAGGATTGGGGTCTGGGTAGTTTATGATCTATTCAATATGTATACCCAGGGCTCGACAAATTATACAATCTACTTGCCTGCGGCTAGTAGATTGTTACCTGGAAGAGCTGGGTTCGGGCGATCTGCGCATGTGCAGATCACCGGACAGCGCAGCTGGCAAGCAGGGTTTGCTGCGGGTCAACGAGCCCTGTGTATACCTAAAGCAAAGGTTTAGGAGCCTCAGAATATCCATATGCACATCTGCTAGTGCCAGTATAGATACTGCAGGTTCAGTGCTGCCCTCTTTTTCAGCCCTGTTTGATATACGGTTTGGGAGACTGTCAGGAAGTTATTTATAGTTCTCTGATTCTGTGCTAGCTCTTAGCATGAATTAGAGCAATCTAGGCCAGGGGTTCTCAAACTTCATTGCATCGCAACCCCCCTCTGAAAACAAAAATTACTACATGACTCCAGGAAGGGGGAACTGAAGCCTGAGCCTGAACCCTGCCACCCTAGGCATGGAGATCAAAGCCTGAGCTTCAGTGTGCCCTGTGTGTGTGTGTGTGGGGGGGGGGGAACAAAGCTGAAAGTCAAGGGCTGAGGGCCTGTAATCTGAGTCATAACACCCAGGGCCAAAGCCCTTGGTCTTCAGCTTTGGTCCTGCATAATGCAGCTCAAACTTCAGCTTTAGCCCATAGCCCAAGGAAGTCTAAGACAGCCCTTGCAATCTGATTAAAATGGGGTTATGACCCCCTTTGGGGTCCCAGCCCCCAGTTTGAAAACTGCTAATCTAGGGTTCTTACCTCCGTAGAGGATTTGTGGAATGGAGCACAGTTATGTCCTGCCCCTCCCTCATTCTTACTCTGCCTCCTCCAGCTCCTAGCATGCCCTTTATATTGGTAGCAGAGATGCAGCTAGTGTAGTAGCTAGCTCAAGTTGCTTTATGATAGTGGGAGTTTCTCCTGTTATAAGGAGAGTTCTCTATTGGCTGCTTTTGGCCAAATCCAAAGACTTTGTGTTACTTGAAAAATACAAAATCACTGGAACAAAATGGGAAATCTGGGGCTCCTATGAAAATGTGATCTCAGTACAGACATAGTTAAATCCACAAATTACCATAATGTTCTTTAAGTGCTTGTTCATCTGAATTCCAGTTAGCTGTGCATGTGGCGTGCACACATGTATCAGACCTTTCTCATGAGCATCTCCTTACACAGGAGGCACAGGTGTTCCTAGCTTTGGGAGCAGTGGCGGAGGTTCCTTAGGTAACTCAGAGGCAAGGGATTTTACTCCAAGTACTTCTTTATCCCAAAGGCAAAGGGGAGGTTTCAGACCCGAGAGAACTCAAAACATTTGTAGCCAATCAGAAGTTCTGTATGGTCTCTCTGAACTTCATCATTCCCTCTCTGGATCCAGGAAATTGGTATGCTGCACTCAAATGAAGGATGCTTACTTCCACATTGCCATCAGACCAGTTCACAGGAGATATCTCCATTTCCAACAAAATGTGCACTATCAATTTACAGCCCTCTTGTTCAGCCTCTCCACAGCTTCCCACATCTTCACCAAATGCATGGCAGTAGTGGCAGTCCCTATCAAATTCAGGTCTACCTCTGCCTGGACAATTGGCTGCTCAGAGACCAATCCTGCCAACAGACCGAATGTCAAATTCAAATGGTCCAGATGATCTTTACTCAGTTAGGTGGACTGCTTACCCAAGGACAGATTTGTTAGTGTTATGTCTAGACTACAAGCCTCTTTCGAAAGAGATAGTCTAGACTACAAGCAGATTTTTTGTAAAAGCGAGCCATTTTTTCGAAAGAGTCTAGATGCTCTCTTCAAAAAAGCAGTTTGCATTCAATAGCACCTTTTTTTCAAAAGAGTATTTTAGAAAAAAATGTTTTTCCTCATAAAATGAGGTTTACCGCAATCGAAAAAACTGCCGTGTTCTTCCGATTTACTTTTGAAAGAATGTGGCTGCAGTCTAGACACAGGGGAAGTTTTTTAGAAAAAAGGCTACTCTCGGGGGTTAGAATTTATAGGAGTTATCCTGGACACCACTTGGGCATGGACATTCCTAATTGCACAGCGGTTCTTGATCATGTCAGAGATGATTCTGTCCCTCTCCAAGTTTCCCACCAGCACAACCATATGTCATATAACAATATGGGTTTTCTGTAGCCATATCGGAAGACCTGTAGCCATATTGGAAGGCCGAAAGCCTTCCTCTGCACCAGATTGAAAAGCAGCAGCCATTAGCTATAAAGCTTGGGGTCACATGCTCACATTCCATCTAAATTGCATTAAAGTAGTGTCACACCAGGCTGTTAAGAAAGAGACACAGTCCTAATGGCACCCTCTGTCACCAGATAAAGAAACAGATCTCAAGATGGGTAAAGAGAACTTAGTTTACCGTGTTTTGTCTGGCAAGAAACTGTTTATCAGTAGTTGAAGTTATGGACTCCTCATTTCGTGATTATGGCCCTCACTTTCATATTGTTTGTCTATATGATCTCTGTCTAGTTTTTATTTCTGTCTGTTTTATAATAAGTTTTGCTAGGTGTAAATCAACTAAGGTGGTGAGGTACGATTGATTAGGTAATTTTGTTATAGTATGTTATGATTGGTTAGTAAAATTTTACTAAAATAATTGGCTACGGTCTAGCTAAGCAGGATTCAGGTTTCACTATATAAACTGGGACCCAAAAGGATGTTAGTTGGGAACTAATTCCCGGACACAGCTCCAAGGTCAGACCAGTCAGATCTCAACCCTGTGCCAATAACACCGTGTTGAAACAAATCCCCCAGATTGACCTGATCTCACTAACCATCAAGATGAGTTCCTCTGTCTCATTGGGAGTGGTGAGCATTGTATGCCTGGGGTGTGCATATGTTTTTTATGATTGTTAATAAATAGAGATTAAGTAAGATATTACTATGTAATGCTCGTTCACTGTAAAAGACCTTACAGACCCGCAAAGTGTAAGGTTATGCATAAGCCTGCAGAAGGGTAAGGGTGGGTGCCTATATTGGAAAGATTGTGCCTGAGTCCTAGAAACAGGTAAGGGTGGGTGCCTACGGTGAGAGGGTTTTGCCTGAACCCTAAGAATGGGTAAGGGTGGGTGCCCCTAGAGAGTGTGAGTGTTTTGTGTGGGCAACAGTCTCATTCGTCAGACTCAGACTGCTGCAAATCTGGTTAGCATCAGTATACTACCCATGCTGCAACAGCATATAGATCAGGGCTTCTCAACTTTGTAAGCCCTAGGGGCCACAATGATACCCACAGTACATGCCAAGGGCCGCAACTTAAGTTGTATATTTATACAAATATTTATGCAAAGATATGCAAATAGCTTCTTTCATATTGATGGGCATGAATACAAAGATTAAGGCAAGAGTACACAACACGCAGGCCCCATTTAAGTCAGTTCTGCTAACATTAATAAAATGCAATATTTACCTGATTTCTGCTCTTATGACAACATTTTTAATGAGCAATGACAGTCCAGGAATTTAAGTTTTTTTGGTGGACAGAAGCTGACTAATTATCTTGTTCTTTCTAGTGAAACCATATGAAAGAATGACTCTTAAAGAACTAAATGAAGCTGAAGATGACTTTGATGAGGATGATATGAAAGCTCTTGAAATGTATAGGTATGGTAAGATGTTTCTTGCCATATTAACTGTATGTATTTAGGATGTTACACACATATAGGATAAAGAAAAATCCCACCTCTAAACTGAAAGAAAACTTACTACATATTTGAAAATTAAATGTTCTGCTAAAAATTATTGCTGTTACTTAGAAAAATATTACTTTGCCTTCTGGATGATTTTAGTTTGCAGATAAGGGTAAATGTTTTTAAGATACATTTTTCTTTATTGCCAGAATATATCTGTGAAATGTTCGGTCACAGAGATACCCTTATGACTATCACTTGATGTGCTGAAATACCATAGATCCTACTTTCCTGTCCTTGTGGGCACTCCTCAACCCTCTGTTCTGCTGAGTCAGGCCCTCTGTACTCCTGCAGCACTGGCACAGAGATGGGGTCACAACCCTCAGAAAGATAATACAGACGCTGAGATTGGCTCAGCTTGGGGAACACCCAGTTAAAGGGACTTGCCTCAGCACTCAGGTGCATGATCCCAGTGGGATCTGACCCCAGATAAAGCCATCTTATTCTGTCTTACTAAAATTTTATACAGAGTAAACTCATGTTGTTTGCCTCCTTTCTTATGTAAAGAGAAATACTCACATATGCCTCCTTTCCCCAGTAACAATTATTTATACTGGGTTTATTAATAAGCAGCAGTGATTTTATTAAGTATAAAAAGTAGGATTTAAGTGGTTATAAGTAATAGCATACAAAACAAAGTAAATTACTAAGCAAAATAAAACAAAACACACCAGCTAAGCTTAAGCTAAGAAACTCGTTACATGTAACACCTTACTCTAAGAAGTAGCTCTAATTATCTTTCACAGACTGAAAAGCTTCCATTCTGGGCCCCAGCCGCCTTAATGTTCAGTTTCAGTTGTTTCCAGCAGACATCTTAGATGGTGAAATGGGCATTCTCAGGACTGGCGGCTTGACTCTAGGGCAGTGGTCTCCAACCTTTTTATGCCCAAGATCACTTTTTGAATGTCAGAACAAGCCAAGATCTACCCCATCATTTCCCCCAAGACCCCACCCCTTCCTTGAAGCCCCGCCCTCTCTTCTCCTCTCCATCACTTGCTATCCCCAGCCCTTATACACTCTCAGGGTACGGCTCCACAACCGCTTTTTTTTCAATTCTTCTGTAGGAAGAGGTTCTTCTAACATTCGGCCTGTGTAGACTGGGCCAAATGTCAGAAAACCCCTTCTTTTGGAATGGACTTACTGCTTGTACAATGGGGGTTACAGGAGTCGGAGTATCTTGACAATATTTTGACATTTCAAAATAACTGCCTGCTGTGTAGATATGGACTAAGTTGTTTTGAAATAATGCTAGCTAATTCAAAATAAAGTTGCTGTGTAGACGTCATTCATGCTTAAATTTGACTCTTTACATATGGGCCTTAACAAAGATGCTAACTACCTTACCCAGTACAATGATAGCTTCCCCAATTATCACCCCTAATATCATTATCTCATAGACACTAACCTCCCCCTTTCCCTCCTCCCCCACGTTCTAAAGCTTGTGGATGTGAGGGTGCAGTAGTTCAGGTTGGGTGTGTGAGGGGCTCAAGGCAGGGAGGTTGGGAGTATGATGGGATCAGGACACAGATTTGCAGGGTGTGAATGGCGCAAAAGTGTTGTGGCAGAAGACTGAGGATGTGGGGGTGTAGGAGTTTGAGGATGTAAGAGGCTCCGGACAGGGTGTTCCAGTGTATGATAGGCTCAGATTTGGGTTGGGGTGAGTTGTACAGGAATGTTATGATGCTGTGGCCAGATGAGGGCTTGGCCCCAATTGGTGGTTTGTTGCCCACACTTCATTTTTAAATAAAATATTATGTCAAACACAAAAGGTTTCAGCTTTGTCTTTATTTATGAGAGGGGTGGGAAACCTGTTTTGAGTCAGGGGTAACTGACCCACAGAAAAGTCAGTTGGTGCCACACAAATGAGATACAAAAACACAACTCCTCCAAAACCCCTCAAGCCTCACTAATGTAGCCCTGATTGTGCTGGTGGGGGCAGGAGACAGGGTGACACTGGGTGCCAGGGCAGGGGACAGGGTACTTGTGGGGGTCTGGGCAGGGGAATAGACAGGGACCAGTACTTGGGGATCCTGCAGCTGTGTGCCAAGGCCCAGGAAGTGCACAGGCTGCTCCCCCGCTCCTCAAACAGCCAGCGCAGTACCTGAAACGCCGGTCCGTCACACGCTGGGGACTTTCTTCCCCTGCTGCCTTCCTGTGCGCGGGAGATGGAGTGGGAATCCGGGACTGTGCTAGCTCCAACTGCTCGGGCAGTGCGTGCCCTGCTCCTCCTCTCCCCACAGCAGTGCGCACTGCCTGAGCAGTTGGAGCTAGCACAGTCCCGGATTCCCACTCCATCTCCCACGCACAGGAAGGCAGCAGGGGAAGAAAGTCCCCAGCACGCAATGAACTGGCATTTTAGGTACCGTGCCAGCTGTTTGGGGAGCAGGGTGAGGGAAGGAAAAGAGCAGCCTGCGCAATTCCGGGACCTGGCGCACAGCTGCAGAACTCTCCCTCCCCCCCCCCGCCCCTCCCCC